AATTTTCTTTCCAACAGGTGAGTGAGTCTCAGTGAACTAAGAATCGCATAAGCCACCCTACGTACATAGCGGCCCTACGCTTTACAGGGGTCAGCGAAAAGGGATTCATCTCATATTCAATACACTTCTCTCTTTCCGCACGGACGTTTGATATCTTGGCACCAACACAGTCTGGCTTAGTACGGGAGTACTTAGCCCAGAAAAACCTTAAGTTGACAGGGGTGCTCCATCCATGGTTTGGAGCAAACATTGGCTTTGGTGTCATCACCAGCAGGGATTCTAAGTAGATTGGAAAGCCAGTCCTGGATTACCTAACCTCGGATTACCCAACCTCTATTATTGGAGATGGAGAGCGTGCCCAAGTGTGTGGGTCGGTCGTCGAATGACGTGTATTGTGTTTGGCATGTATGTCTGCAAGCCAGGGTTTGATACACACTGTGTAAGCATCAAAAACGGCTTATGTGTCTGTGCGGAAAGAGATCAGAGAGTTGAAGAAGGTGAAGGCCTTTTCGCGGACTCCTGTAACCTCTGCATGACGCCGTCGCGCCAGAATCTCCTTAAACAGCTTTGACACCTCGCCTTATTTATCAGACATGTCCCGTGTTCAGTTCCCCTCCATATCTTGCAAGCCGGATTCGCTGAGAAACCCGGCAAAAGAACCGGTGGATCTTGAAGGAACTCCTGTCAGGTCGGTAGGCACGTGCGGCAGCAATTGTTCGCGTCTGTGGAACTTTCGGCTGGTAGCTTAAAGCTGCCATTTCGGCTGCCGCCGTACCCTCCTTCCGCGCTTCGCCCGATAACTCCACCTCCAACCTGTTCTGACCAGGAATGGTATCGCTTGACTGTCCTTCCAGTGTATCCAGCTCGCTGTCACCAACTGACACAAACGTAGACGCGCAAGCTTCCATCCCGAAGATGTCGCGCAAGTCCATCTCAGGCAGCCCGAGGAAAGAACCTTCCTCAGCCGCGCCGATCGCACTCGCAGTGTCAGCGTCGCTCATGGAAAAATCCTCCATCATGCCCTCGCCATCGTGGTTGAGCGGTGCTAATTCCGTCCGTTATTCATGTTCTGCTGGGTTGCTGGGGGTTTCGCCTACATCAGCGTCGTCTTGCCGGACGCCCGATACAGTGCCGCCAAAAACAGCGGCGCCGTCGTCATCGGCCTCAATTTCGTGTGGGGCATCCACATCCCCACTTGCGACTTCCTTCGCCGTTGCGACTTCGTATCCCACGGTATCGGGCGTTCCCCGCATGCTGCTTCCGACCACCCCCACTTCGAT